CTCCTCTGGTCCACCCGTCCCTCGTAGTGTTAGTTTTAGATTATTATGTAAATACTCTTAGGATACTATTTTTTGTTTATTAATGAAACACTAAAAAATAAATAAAACATACTTATTTTTCAAAAAAAAGAATTTCAAATTCTTTACCAAACACACCCTATTTATGAGCTTTTTTCTTCCCCGGATAATGACCTCTTTCTTTGTCTCAATGAAAGTAAAAAATGAGCTGGTTGGCAACTTGAGAAATTTTCGTCGGAAAATGACGAATATTAAAGTCCTGCTGATTCTACTGTTACTGCCGGCGGCGGCGTTTCTTCTGCCCGGTGCAGCAGAATCCGGCAGCGGTCAGTCGTTAGTGGAATGGGAGATCCTATCGAAGCTGAACTACTCTTCCCAGATTCGCCTACATCCGCATCTTCTTCTTTTGGTCACTGTCCCTTGTAATCCCCACTTTTCTCCTTCCACATTCAGTATTTTTCTTATCAATATTTGCTGCAAATAGGGCTTTGTTTAGCTTCTAGTGCATTAGGAGTGTTATAGATGTCCTGACTTGTGTTTTAGAAAGGGTTCATTTGTTGTTCTTAAAATTGGGGACTTTTCTACAAGACTGACGACCTGATTTTGAATCTTGTTCAAAATTGATATGTAAATTTATTGCTTGGGTGTTTGTATAGCAAGTACAGTTGTTATGGTATGAAGAGTTGCTGACAGGAAGGTACCTTAGAAGTGATTTAGCGTCCATGTTTTAAGATATTTTGTTAAGTATGCTTTCTGAACGTATTTCTAATACATTTTATTTTATTTACATAATATTGGCATAAGTTGATTTAAATGGAGCAACGTGGTCGATGAGGATTTATATAACGGGTCCCATTTTGTTTAGGACTGAGACGTAGTACTTGTTGTTGTTGTTGTTGTTGCATACTTAGTGAACGTAGAGCGTTGCAATGTCAAATTGTGGGAAATGATCTGGTTAAATTAACCAAAGTTCATGGTGAAAGTTCAGTGTACAGTCAGCTTTTAGTACGGAAATACACTAAGTGTTTTTGCCATCAGATTTCCAACTCGTACCATTCTATGTACTTGCAAAGTTGTAGTTTTTTTGCTTGTGTTTAAGCGATTTGGAGGGGTTGCAAAAAGAAATGAGAAATATAAAGAGAAAGAAAACTGCTGAAAGGAGGCAGAATGGTAGTCTGAAAAGAAGTCGAATTGAAGTATAAAGAAGATATCATGGTTGAAAACAACAAAATAAAAAGTGAGAGAAAAAAGAATATTTTTTGGTGTGAATAGGTGGAAACAGAAAGTGTAAAAGTAGACGTTTGAAAATGAAGCAAAATTGGTTGAGTTTCTAGAAAAAGAATAGCAGGAGGAAAAGGTTTCAGGGTTACCAGGTCTTGGAAACCAACGAAAAGAAGTGAGAGAATAACTTATTACAACCAGTTTGCCTAAGAGAAGTTAATCCTGACTTGATGATTATGAGTGCCGGTGGCTAGAATCACAGGAAAGTATCATTCCTGGAAATCCTTTTACTTTCTAAGGAATGATTTGGTGTCTGGGTGACTATTTCTAGAAAGCTAGACTAGGTTTAGGTCCATGAGGTATGATTAGTTTGATAAAAAAGTCAAAGGACAATGCTTCATGTAAGCTATGAACCAAATTTGTAATTCTACTTTATTAGGAAGGAGGTAGAATACATATGACAATTATTCATTAGCCAGGGTTGCTTTCATCATCATTATTTCTATCTGCAGGAGTTTGCTTAAGTTGATGATGTTCTTTGTGTTGTTGAACTAGCCGACCACATGGATAATAAAATGATTAAAGCTTTACTCTTATAAATATCGCTGTTTAATAAAAGTTTAATGAGTTTTTTAAAATGGTGATGGATTTGTCATACGTCTCTTAAGACAAGATGGCAAGAACGTTGGTTGAGTCCTCAAGTCTTCGTTTCACCGATAAGGATTTGACGCGAGATGCGGGGATAGAGCATACGTCACAAGTTCCAACCCTGCTGCTGATTGAAGCCTGGTATCACGAGTTGCAACTATGGCCCAATTGAGGTTGGACCATTTGACTTATAGGAGATTTCTTGGTTATTAAAAGAAACGAGAGTGTTGGTTGCCCTAGGGTTGTTCAGTAGGTGGCGGGAAGGTGAAGGTTAATCATTTTTATTTTTTCCTGATGATATTATCTCCTTTTATTCCGACGTAGACCTAAAATCACGTGGAAGGATGTTGTTTCGAAAGACCTAAATCTCTTGGAATCCATGTAGACCTAGCGGTAAAATAGTGCACGATGGAAAATAAGATCTATGTAGGTGATACCCATTAGTTGGGACTATGTTTTAGTCATGTCAGTATGTTTACTTTAGGTCTTATGTTTTGTAGGAGTCTTTTTTAGATGAAATTTATATGCTAGGGAAAAATATAGAGGACTTCTAGTGCTTATGTACTTATTATTATTATTATTATTATTATTGTTGTTGTTGTTGTTGTTGTTGTTGTATAGTATGGGTCTAAGATGAGCTTACATGGAGCAATATGTTAGTGAGGATTCATATAGTTGATCCTAACTTGCTTGGATTAAGGCGTCATAGTAGTAGTTGATATTACCTCCTCCTTTTATGATAGTGCATTTTACTATAATTATGTATAGTCCATCTTTATGATTTTTGAAAAAGTTTCCGGCTTAAAGATCAATATTCAAGAGTATTCTGGAGGGTTATGAATATTATTGACTATTTGGTCTATTAAGGTCTTCCTACGTACATTTCCTCCACATCTGGCGCGGGTGACCAGTATTGACGCAACAAGGATGTGGGTGTGAGATTCATGCCGAATTGTCAAATGCAATAAGAATCGTTAACCAAGGCAAAGAGAGGAAGACAAAGGAGGGAAAAGAAAGAGGGGAGAAAGAGAAGTGGTTATGGAGATTTTGCAATGAGAAAATCGGATTAGAAAGAAGTACAAGATGGGAAATTCTTGAATGACAGTAATGCCAAGTCATTCCTATGAAGTTGGGAATCGGGAACATATCAGAAACTTATGGATATGTTCTCAGAACACATTTACATCAAAACAGGCAATGGTAAAAAACTTTATTTTCGAAAGAAAGATGGTTGAGACATACACCCGTCAAAGATCAGTTCCCTAGTATTTTCAGCATAATAAATAATCACGGTGCCACAGTGGAAGATTATTGGTCTACTCAAGCATGGATCATTTCCCGTAGAAGAAAGTGCAACGATCGGGAATTGGAGGAAATGAGCAACTTTCTGCATATGATAGATAGCTTTGAACCCTAAACCCTAAACCCATCATTAGCTGCACTGAACTTTATTCCCCGTCTGGCTTAGCACCCATGGTTCCAGTTGGTTCTCACTGTTCTGAGACAATTTGTCATGATTTGATTTAAAATTAGTGAATGAATCCTTTTGTGAGACTACTTTTTGTTACTATTTGTACAATTTTCCTCTTTCTATTTTTAGTTTAATACTTTGCTTTTCTACCCATCCTTTAGTTCTATCAATACCAAAAGCTGATTAGGATTTATTTTGTTGGAGACCTAGTGAATGGTACAGGTGGGTGCAACCATATTTTATCAGATGCATTTGTACTTCTAATATATTGTCTGATGAGTTTCCTTATTGATCAGGGTCTGGTGAGTCTCGGTCCCTTATGAATGAGTTGGCTGATGTAGTTGCTCATGACCAAGGGATATTTGGTTCACTGAAGCTGATGGTATTATATAGGAGCAGTGAGAGAATGCTGGCAGATGCAGTTGGAGCTGATGAGGGAATAACAATATTTTATTATCATCACTCACACCCCCACAAGTATCTGGGAAGACTTCGAGTGCAGAACATATTGTCATCTTTACATTATGTTATGTCACTGTTGCCAGAACAGTTTCCCTTCAAAATTTTAAAGACACCCGAAGACATAGAAATTTTTCTTGGTTCAACCGATAAGGCTTTGATTCTTTCTGAATTTTGTGGATGGACCCAGAAATTGCTAGCGAAAGGTGGCAGTAACAACAGCGAACATGGTTTTGGTAAAGAACTTCACTTCTGGTTTTTGTTGCTTTATTTCCAGTAATGGAAGGTGAATAATTTTTATAAAATGAAATTGCCTCATGAACTTTATAAAAAAAATGAAATAGCCTCATGAAGGATTAGTAGTAGAGTACTGAAATGACCTTTCCAAAAAAGAAAAGAAAAGGTAGAGCCATGCTAACTGAAACAATTTCATTGATCTTTCTAATACTTTCAAAGTTCTTAGTTTACTTAACAATGTGTAGCATTTAACACATCATGGTTTCTAAAATATCAACTAAATGATTGGTTCTGTCCATATTTAAGCATCCAAGGGGAATTGTTCATCAATGACAATGAGATAGTACGAATTGCTGGTCGTAGTTATACTTTAATGAAGGTGCGGAAGTCTTTGACTTCCTAATGTAAAAGATACTTCTGTCATCATCATTATTGTTATTGTTGTTATAATTTAAAGGTCAAGTAGTCATTACATATTAACAATTCAATGGGCTTAATTCTCATGGATAACATAATTTAATCTGCTTGAGCACTAAAGTGACATTCTAAAACTAAAGTGTATGAACTTTCTATGTCTAAATATTTAAGTTCTGTAAAGGACATGTGTCCTTGTTGGTGATTTAAAATTGGGAAAGACATTGATTCCCTTCAATATTGTGATTGAAGTTGCTATCCTGTTGTATCCTCTCTATCTATCACCTACTTGTGAACATGCTAAAATCTCCTGATTCTAAACATATTGGATGGTGGGCCACCAGAAGGACTCAATTACTTAGAGCTTTTAGTATTATAAGTCTTTATGAGCCTTGGAAGTGAGAAGATGCTTTTTTTTTGGGTGGTACAACACTTTGCAGAATCCATTTTTCTAGTTTTTTCTTTATGTGATTGCTTGTATCATTCATTCTTAGTAACTAGAACTTGGATTTGTGAAATGCAAATAATATGTGATTAAGCGGGGCTAATCTATCATGCGGATAAACATTTAATGGTATCATAATTTCTCTTTGCCTTTTTTTCTTTCTTCTTCTATTTCGCACTTGAATGATGGCATGAGAAGTTCTAAACTGACGCGCTTATTCGAAACAGGATTTCACGAACAGTTTAATGGAACAATTGCAGCTAAAGAGAATGAAAATCAGGTGGCAGATGGTAGCTTTTTAGTGCTTATGACTATGAAACTGTTTTTAGAATTGTGAAACCCATATTGCTTAATGGCTTTACCTGTATTTTGTTTCTAATATTAGGGGTTGGAAAATGCAAATATGGATTGTGGTGTTGACAATCGATTTAGTGACATGCCTTGGCTTAGTGAGTTTACCTCAGCAAACAATAGTGCTTTCCTCGCAGCTGAGAATATGAGCCTTAATAGTGGGGCTTCCTGTAAAATTGATGAATTCCAACATTTCGAATCATTCTTATCAAAGTTTTTAACTGTTGCGAGAGACTTATTTCTTCCTCCTGAAAGGCTAAGATTCGGTCTGGTTCTTGATAGAGCGTTGCTCTCATCACTGAACATTAAGGATTCTGGATCATGGTTGGTGACATTGCATTTTGCTGGATGCCCCAGTTGTTTGAAGGTTCTCAGAGAAGGTGATGATCTCAAAGCTTTTGCCAAAATTCAAGCTTGGCCAGTTGCAGAGGCAAGTGAAAACTTGTGCTTTACATTCTTGATAATCTTTGTATAAAATCTCACTCTAGATTTTTCTAGTTAGGGTAGAAAGGTAGTAGGTAGTCGAGCGTATTTTAATTCCGTACCGATGGTATTAGGGTTAGTCTGGTAGTTTTTCTTGTCTTAGATTGCTAGTATTTCATGCTGTTTTCCTATTATCTTGCGCTTCTGTTTCTTAGTATTTTGCTGTTGTTATTGCTTGTTGCTACTGCTTCCTTCCATCTATTTTTCTGCCTCTGTAATTGCTGTTACTATCTTTCTGGCTCTCTTTGTTGATATTACTTGTTTCTACTGCTTCTTTTCGTCTTTCTTGAGCCGAGGGTCTATCGGCAACATCCTCTCTACCTTCCCGAGGATAGCGGTAAGGTTTGCGTACATACTACCCTCCTCAGACCCTACTTGTGGGATTCCACTGGGTTGTTGAATTTTTCTAGTTACTGACATTTGAATTCCTTGAATGAGGATATTCCTGATAGTATAAATAAACGTCTGCATTTCCCGTAGAATTATATCTTTGTATGAGGGCTCTTTACTTTTCTTATTCATCCTTTGTGCAGGGCTCTTTCTTGTCAATCAATAAAAATTTCAAGACTTCATTAGAATTTGTCTTTTCTTTTAACATGAGAAGTATCCTTTTCTACCTGCTCTGGTATCATGTCAAAACGTGTGCTGTCTCTTCTAAAAGCTTAAGCTGTTAGAGATAACACACTTCTATTTACTTAATTATATCTTAAAGGGTTTTTATTCAAAATAGTTTTTGACGGATTTGCTTTCTTTTTTTACTATGATTCTATGAATATGAGTGGCTTTGGATTTCATGGAGGATTGCTGGGGAGGTGGGAAGGGAGTATGGGGTTTGAGAGAGTGGGGTTGTAGAAAGAGCAGGGTCACAAGAGTTTTGGGGCTAGGGAGGGGTCGTTGGGGTGGGCATGTAGACAACTTTTTTTTTTTGAAATGATAACGGGTTTCATTGATATATAGATAAATCTCAGCGCCAAGATAGTGCTGAGAGAAAAGGTCCCTAGTTACAAGACTTTCAAAAGAAAGAGAAAGATGAACAAAAACAAGTCTTGTAGCATTTACAAGGATCCGATGAGATCAACTATGGAATCTACATCTTGTACTAAAGCTTCTTTACACCAAAAGTGAAATAAAGATATACAATTCATTTTAATCTTCTGTTCAGGATTTGCTGAATCTTCAAAACATCTGAAGTTCCTTTCCAGCCAGATAGTCCACCAAATGCATGCTGGAATGAGACTCCACCACCTCTTCTGGCTGCTTCCTGTAGCTAAATAGTCCCAACTAGACAACAAGTCCATAGTTTCTCTAGGCATCACCCAGCTTAAGCTTTTCATACTTATGAAAAGCTGCCACAATCTATTGGACACCTGACAATGAAGAAATAGATGATTGTTTGTTTCGATGGCCCTTCCGCACAGAAAACATTTGGAGCACAGAGGCATTCCTCTCTTCGTTAAGCTCTCATGTGTCAGAACAACCTGTTTGACCACTAGCCAGCAAAACACATTAACTTTTAAAGGGACCTTCAACCTCCAGATGTGCTTCCATATCCAAGTCTCTTGTTGCTGCGAACTTCTGTTTAAAACCTCATATACAGATTTCACAGTAAAAACTCCTTTGCTATTGTTTTTCCATAACAGTTTGTCCACTTGCTCAGTTGGACCTTTGAAGTTTTCCAAAAGTTTCAGAAGCTCAATTACTCTGATCACCTCCCAATGATTCAGAAATCTTCTGAAGCTTAAATTCCAGCCTTGCTGACTCCAGGTATCAGCAATAGAAGCATCTGGCTGCTGCGCTAAAGAGTATAGATCAGGGAAACTGTCTTTTAGTGGAGTATTCCCTATCCAATCATCCTTCCAGAAGAGAGTTTTTGCACCATTGCCCACCTTTATGCACGAATTGCTCATTAGGTTTTGCCAGAGAGATCTAATAGATCTCCACACACTCACACCATAAGGGCTAGCCACTGTACCTGAGCTCCACTGGCCTTCAGTCCCATATTTTCCACATATCACTTTACTCCACAGGGCGTGTTCCTCCAGTGGGAATCTCCATAGCCATTTCATAAGTAGGCTCTTGTTATGCTGCCTCAAATTTCTGATTCCCAATCCACCTTCCTTCTTGCTAGTTGTGAGAGTATTCCATTTAACTAGATGGTAGCCTCTTTTCTCTTTATTCCCATGCCATATAAAGTTCCTCCTCAAAGCATCAATCTTTTTCTCAAAAATTGACATCATGTAGGTGGGAAGGGAGTCTAGTACACTGTTGACTAGTGTGACCCTCCCTCCCAAGGACAGGTAATTGTTCTTCCAGCTGGATAACTTATTTTCACACCTTTCCCATTCCATATCTGCTTGGACTTGCTCTTTGCACCTAGTGGTAGCCCCAAATAGGTGGTAGGAAGAGATCCCACTTCACATCCTAGGGAGCCAGCTAGTCTTTGAGGATCTGTGACCTCATTAACTGTGAAAATCAAGGATTTACTCCAGTTCACATGTAAACCTGAGATGGCCTCGTAAACAGTCAAAATCAATCTCAGGTGAGTAACCTGCTCCTCCTTGGCATCACAAAAGATAAGTGAGTCATCAGCATAAAGAAGATGAGTGATTTCCATGACACTTCTTGCATTTTGGGAACCCTGAAGCCCCTAATCCACCACTCCATGTTCGCCTTCCTGATCATGCAATTCAACCCTTCCATAGCAATAATAAAAAGGAAAGGGGAGAGAGGATCTCCCTGGAAAAAAGCCTTCTGGGGAACCATTGATAAGGATGGAAAATCTGACATTTGAGATACATAACTGAATCCACCTAATCCATTTGTCGCCGAAACCCAAATCTCTGAGGAGCAAACTCCAGTTAATGTGATCAAAGGCCTTTTCAATATCTAATTTGCACAAGATGCCTGGGCTCTTCTCCTTGATTCTGAAATCCACACATTCATTGGCTATTAGAGATGCATCCATGATTTGTCTGCCTTTAATAAAGGCCATTTGTTGCTCATCCACCGGTTTATGAATCACCTTCTTCAATCTCTCTGTTAAAACCTTGGATATGATTTTGTAGACACTCCCTATTAGACTTATGGGTCTGTAATCCTTCAAATCTCCTGCCTCTGTCTTCTTAGGAATTAAAGCTAAGTATGTGGCATTAAAGCTTTTTTCGAAATATTCATTTGTGTGAAAATTATGGAAGGTATTCAGAAGGTCCACCTTAATCACATCCCAACAATGGAGAAAGAAGGCAATAGTGTACCCATCAGGGCCAGGAGCCTTATCTGTTGCACATGCTTTAAGACCCTTTAATATTTCCTGCTCATCAAACTCTCTTTGAAGCCACTGCACCTCAGTTTCATTGATCTTGGAGCCGTGAGGATAGTTGAACTCTGGCCTCCATTCCTCTGGTTCTTTGTAAGCTGCTGGTAAAATGATAGAATCTCAGCCTTGATTGTATTCAAACCCTCCACCTGCGTACCATTGATGTTGAGTTTGTCAATGGTGTTGAACCTCCTATTTGCATTGGCCACCTTATGGAAAAATTTTGTGTTTCTGTCCCCCTGTTTCAACCATTGGATTCTGGATTTTTGTCTTCAAGAGATCTCCTCGTTTTTTGCAGTTTCTTCCAGGTCCATGGCCAAGCTTGCCTTTAGGGTCAGTTCATCATCACTGAGATCTCTGCTTTCTTGCGCAGCATCAAGCTTAAAAATTCTGTTCAGACATTCTGTTTTCCTGGCTTCTAGATTTCCTCCTAGAGATGAGCCCCATTCTCTAAGCTTGCCTTTTAGGAGCTTTAATTTTTGAGCCAGGATGTAATCTGGTCTGCCATGAATGACAAAAGAAGACCACCAGTCAGCCACCTTTTCTCTGAAACCTTCAACACCCAACCACCAATTTTCAAATTTGAAGTATGATTTGACATTCTCCCAATCCCCACAGTCGAGAGCAATAGGGGAGTGATCTGATGATACTTTAGTTAAAACTGACTGCCTGATGTTTCTGAAATTTTCATCCCACTATGAAGAGAACAAAATTCTATCGATTCTCGAGGCAATATGAGTGTTGTTTCCCCTTGTCCAACTGTAAATCCCTCCTAGCAATGGAGGGTCAATGAGTTCCATGTCGTCAATAAAGCTAGTGAAGTCAGACATGGCTCTAGTGATGGAGTTGCCATTTCTCCTTTCATCCATGAATCTTATGATGTTGAAATCTTCGCAAACGACCCAAGGCCCTGCGCAGAGTCCCCTTGAAGCAGCAGCTTCCCACCAAACATTCCTTCTCTCCAATCTTCAATGTGGACCATATACTCCTGTCAGATGCCATTTAAAGTTTTGCATCAGAGACTCAAAACTACAGGTAATAGTGTAGCTTCCTATATTGATTACTTCTCCTCTCCAAACCCTACTATCCCACATAACTAGGATGCCCCCCTACTTCCACTAGCTTCTAGACACCCAAATTTGATCCACATGTTGCCCCAAATTTGTTTCACAAACCACTGATTATCCCCCTCCAATTTGGTTTCTTGAAAGCAGTATATGTCTGCCTTCCATCTCTCTATTAGCATTTTAACTACAGACCTTTTGACCCTTCGATTCAATTCCCTAACATTCCAAGAAATAATTTTTACCTTCATTGATAACTATTGTTGATGGATTTCCCCCTGTTCCTTGAGCTTGACTCTGGGAAGTTCATATTGAAGACTAGGTTTTGAACTTCCATAATCCCTTTGTTCCTTTTTGGAGTAGAGGCTGATTTTAGTGCATCCTCCATCCTTTTCTCTTGCCTTCTCCTGTCAATTTTCATAAAAAGTGATGGAGCTTCTTCCTCACACCCCTGAAAATTCACCCCATAGAACTTGCTCATCTTCAAGATATTTTTGCGGGCCCAAAGAGAAGCTTCTGTCTCTGCCTCAACGAAACAAGTGTCCAGAGGTTCAGGTTCATCCACTGACCAGCTTCCCAGATCTTCAACATCAACTGACTGCATGTTATTTTGTGATGCAGTGAGAGAAGGAATAATATCCCCTGACGTGAATATTACACCATCTTCTTCTTGTGTAACTTGCGATTGAGTTTCCTGGAAGTTGAGGATGTCTCGGGCTACTTGTTCACCATCAAAAATTAGAAGAGGAAGAGAAGATGACTCAGAGAACGTAAGCA